ATAAGGAAAGTATAAATTGAATAATGATGATTAGTAATAGATCTTTTTCTAAACAAAGTAATAAAGACATTTCTTGCCATATATAAAGTTGATCAAGAGAAAGACATCACCGGTAAGAAAATAAGAAGATTACTATATAATTAAAAGTTAATAATACATAATACGATGAATTTACCTGCAATTACTAAATTAAAAAATAGAAATTGACCTTAATATGAGCAGCTGACGTAATAGAATAAAACAAATCTACACTCCCTTACCTCTTCTTCGTGTTCGTACAAAGCTAGCCAAAAGTTATAAAAGGTCCTTGCCTATTACTTATAAATTATCAGCAAACAAATTAGATGAATTTTCAAATTTAAGCAATTCAGAAAAATCAAATAAACCTTCAAATGATTTAAGCAATTCAGAATGATACTCAAATGAATCAAACAAATTAGATCAATATTCTAGTGAAAGTTTGAGAAAATCAGATATAAATTGGGTTATTAATGAAGAAGACTCTTTACATAATTGGGAGAATAATCAGGAAGAGCAATTACTTGACAATATAGATTAGGAGGATAATGAGACAGAATATTTACATGATTATATAACTTTGAACAATTTGGAGGATTACGAAAAATATTTGCAAGATAATGATAATGATTTGACAAATTCAGAAAATAATACAAAGCAGAATACCCAAGAATACAAACTATTTGAGAGCCAATCACAATCTTTTAAAAGATTTAATGAAAAATACGGTCCGTATTTTTCAAATTTCACATCTACTATGCTCTTTTCATGGATTACAGAGCATATTATTTCTACAGCAGCCTATGAAGACCTTGTCAAAATTCTTAAATATTCAGAATTTCGGCCTGAACATATTATTGCAAATATAAGACGTTTTCGCAAATAGAGAAATAGACTTCCATTGCTCAAGGTTTAGAGTTATACAGTTCTGATTTCTAGACAGCATACCCCATCAAATTCAGCTTCAACCAAACTTGCATATTCAATAATGCCAGTAGATTATATTGAATATATTCTTAATAATCCAACAATTGCACCTAATTTATACTTTGGCCCTGATATTGTATGTGATGAAAAAGTGAATTCTGGCATGGTACATTCTGGCAGGACTCACCTTTATTTGGAGAAACTAAACTTTGTGTAAATAATGGTTAGCAGTTTTTTATTTTAGCATAGTATATTAGAGATGTTATATAATAAAACTTAGCACTCTGATTTATCATATTAATTAGTTTTTTTTTATTAGTTACTTATCAAGCAGGCAATTTTTTACATTATCACCAAGACAATGCAATTAAGTTTGTACATATTCGTAATGTTGTTAAAGTTAATAAGAGGCAACTACTCAGAGCTAATCCGCTTGTTCCATATAATGAGCTTCCTGGATACTTGCGTAGTATGAATAGAAAAGCACGTGGAATAAATATAGAAGAACTTTGGCTTGTTGAAGGACAAGAGTGTTTGATTATACCTAAAAATATTACTCAAATAAATGTTTGGTTAAGGGTAGGGTATCTCATGATTTTAGGGTCGCGTAATTAACCAATCAGAATGCTCAATTTTGCCCATTGATGGGCAAACTTGCCCATCAATAGGCAAAATCGAGCATTCTGATTGGTTACTTTACGCGACTCTAAAATCATGAGATACCCTACCCTTAAAGGATCTTGATAGGCCAGTAGAATATGAATATTTTGTAACTGAAATATTATATAGTTTTAATAGTTAGTGGTATATTCGTGATCTTACTAAAAGGCACAGAGCTCCTTATGAATATATACCTATTCCACTATTACCACCATGACCAATGCCTATTAAAAAAGTTTTTCTTGATATCTACTTCAATGATTTTGGGACATTTCATAATTCATATTATTTATTAGGAGGAGTTTATTTAGTTATTAGAAATATACTGTTTGATTTACAAAAGCTACTCAAAAATCATTTTCTACTTGGCGATATCCTATTGTAGGGCAGTGGTCTGATAGTGTTTGTCTGAAAGAGATAGTGTTTCTATTTTGAAACTTACCGCGATATATTCATAGGGATATATCTGCTCAGTGCGGCCAATCGCTTGTAAGTGCAACTGCAGAATGCCACTTCTAAATATTATGCTAAGGCCTTTTGTAATACTATACAATTGTAAAGTAATAAAGGAGACTAAAGGCAAGATGGCCTAAGTGGAAAAAAAAAAAAAAAAAAAAAAATACAAACCAATAGGGTCGTCACCACCAAAAAAACAAAGACTGCATGAAGATAAACGTATAGAATCTTATATGAATATAGATAATTGTAATGAATCAGACCAAGAGGATCAAGAACCAAATTCAGATATAGAAACTGACAATGATGATATAATAGAGTCAAGGTTAACACCACCTTTACCTCTAAATGAAGAGGAATTATCCAATAAAGAATTATTATCCAATAATAAAGGATCTGAAGAACTTAATTGTAAGTAATTAATAGATACTGACAAAGTTATTAGCTTAAGAATTCTGAATGTTAATTAATATTTAACTAGACAATTAGCAAATTTCACAAAAACTAGATGAACTTCAAGGAATTTCAAGTGAATTTGAAGCTGCTGTTTGGTTAGCAAAACATCCACGTGTACTTGAGTTAGCATTTGAGATGTACAATGCAATGTTACAAACTTTAGAAAATTCTCAAGAATCTTCACCAAAATTAAAGTTTTCATTGAGTGATAAATCATTAATTACTTTAGTGCCAGATTAGGAATATATTTGCTATTTTTTTTGCAATATTTTATTTATTGATTTATTTAATGTTAACTATATAATTATAAATTTAAATAGACAATGATAGCAAACTTAGAACTTGAAGCAAAAGCATTATTTTTAAGAACAAAAAATAATACTCCTGCATTGTATACTAAATTAGCATCTGCTGTATGTGGTATCTCCAAAGTTAACAAGCAGATACTAGCATTAATTAAGAAGGTTGGTAGTTGCTTTGATGATTATCATTATCGCCTCCTTGCAAAGCTTCGAAAGAGAGCTGATGAATGTTTGAATCAATTTGGGTAAGTTTTAAAAATAAAAAAAAATAATGAACGTTGCTATTTACTACCAGTGGTGATATCACCAGAAATACTATATCTCAACAACTTACTAGCTAACTTATGTTAAGAGTATTAAGTAAAAATGGTCAGAACCCTAAAAACCTAACTTAACTAAGATTTGAACCTTCATATCTAACCTTAACCTTAGTCTAAAATTGCATTCTAGCTCTAAATTTTGATAAAACAATATATAAGAAGTGGTGGTATCACCACTAGTGGTAAATACTAAATTGAAAATTAAAAACTAAGCAATCATTAATACTGTATTAACTATCAAATTATAGTAATATTGCTCCTACTAATGCCCAACTTCTAGACTTTATTTCTGAGAATATATGGTGTGAGATACTTTCTCAATTTCTTGAAGCAACAGAACAGCCTGCTCTTCGTCATAATAAAAGAATATGGAATGCCTTGGGTAATTTTGTTCGAGAAGCCATTAAGAAAATTATTATTTCAAAAATAGAGGAAACTGATATGAAAGTAGCACTTCGTAGTTGTGATGCAATTACTGTTAACTTGCCAATTCCAACTGTACTTGGTGTTGTCACTCGTTTGCTAGTTCAAGATTTATTAAAATGTAAAACCGGTTGGCAAAGAAGAAGTAAATAAAGATAAGAATAGCAGTAATTGTTATATTCACTATTATGTAAATTAATTATCAAATGCTTATTGATAGCGATAGTTACTATTATTACATTATTGCAGGTAACAAATTTAAATAAGTTTCAATTAGATATATTTTTAATATGTATACATTAGAGATATATTAGATTATTTAATGAATTTTAAAGTTTTTTTTGTTATAACTTGAGAATGGTATTACTAACTTTCTTAATTAAGATATATAACTAATTCTGATTGTTAAGTTTTAAGCATGACTTTAAATTGTAAAAATTTTAGTACTGTAGTATAAATATAAAAAAAATTGTACAATAAAAGATAGAATGAAATAAGAAATTTTTATTCTTATTTAAATAAATAACCTATTTATTCTTTATATAACTGCGATAAATCTCTGTTTCTTGTATATATTAATATAATATTACTTCATCTAACAATTTTGTAATATAAATTAAATCTAATTACAAATTACAGAAATTTTATTTTTACTAAATTAAATATATATATATACCTTATCCCTTAAACCGTCAGTGGTTAGCGGGCATATTTGGCTGCTAAAATGTTAAAATTGTTATGTCTGATCTAT